TTTGAGACCCTCATCAGGGACCGTAACATAGAGAAAATGACCTGAAATAAAAACAATGACATAGTATTTTTTTAAATCTGCCTTTTATTTCTAATACAAAAGCATTTCAAATACTAGCAGTAAGGAGTAATAGCATAGCTTCAGTAGCAAAAATACAGAAGGGTCTTCTGATTTGTCTGAATATCATACCTGATGCTGAGTTACTAGAATGATCTCTGCCTGGTCCTTTCAGAGGATCCGTGTTGGTGATCTGTGTCTGATTTGTCCTTACCCATTTCAATGATGAAAGTGACCTTAGGTCCCAAATGCAGAGGCCTTCCTCAAAGTCACAGGACTCATATTGAGCTGGGGACGCAACAAACAAAGACGGAACAAATAGTCATCATCATGAAGTGTACTGTCCATAAAAGATGGACATGGTCATCATGGCAACTTTTTTAAAGCCTTAAACCTGGTTTATAAATATTATTTAAAAATATATACCGATCTTTGCCCAATACCTGTGTTGCCTCTCGATCACAAGCAACCTCCTTCAAGCAAACTCTGTTTTACAAAGTACTGAGTACAAAATCAGGTTTTTTGTTACTGGGAAACATGGTAGCCATTCCAGCCGCAGCACTTTGTTGGAGTAATTTTGCTTAAAATATTAACATGAAGACAGTTTGGTCCTTACCAATAAAAAGCTCCTTTTGACAAAGATATTTAATGTAAGATGATTCATTCTGATTTCAGCATTTCTTACAAAAGCTAAAAGATGATATTGATATGAGTCGCTTCTACAGAAATGTTTATTCTGAGGCAACTGAGCAAAATACACAAGAACCGCTTTTCCACTGCCTTATATAATAACACATCTTCTTTTTGCAACCCAAGGCACTCATGATTATTTTAAATCGTACTGACAATGGATTTGGATTTGTTGTTCCTTGTCAGTTTTATTATTTTAACCACGTTTTATTATTCATGTTGACAAAAGTCCGTCTGTCTTCCAATCTGAACTAAACCTGCCACACACTGTTGGAGACTGAGTTTGGAGTTTTAGCTTGATAACAATAAACAAAGAAGTGCCATAGAAAAAACAAATGCATCTTAGCAATATTTTCACACATGCTTGAAATTATAATTGTAATTACGTTTTAATTTGTATTAATTGCACAGGCCTATTACTCTATGTCACTTCTGCTAAAAGGGACAAAGGACCCTGTGCACAGGTGTCCCATTCAAGAGCAAAGAGCCGCGTGTCATTCACTGATGATATGATGATGACATTTTTGGTTAGGTCAGCTGATGGTTAGGACTACAAAAGTGGTTTTAGCACACTGATCAAAATACATGGTGGTGCTACACACTTAATAAAATACGCTTGTACACACCGGCGCATCGACTGGGACTATAGCTGTGTCTGAACGTACTTCCAGTGACATTTGCAGACATTTTTTTAATTTGATTGAACTTTTGTGAACAATAAGTCTGTTTTCCCCACCAATTTTATTACTTTGTATTGTGACTAAAATATTCCTACATATTTATTATGGGATTCAGGTGAAATTAGATTTCTCACTGCAGTTGAGCTCATCAGATCCATCACCACAGTCATCGCTGCCATCACAGAGATGGCGCTCCTCCACACAGGCCTCGTTGTTACACTTCACCATCCCTGCTGAACAGTTTCCCCCGGGGACTGGTGCTGATGATCAAGAGAAAATAAAAAACTATCACTTATGAATCAGTTTACTGGAATTAATTGATTGTAAAACACTCTGCAAGGACTTGAAAAAAGGCAGGGACAAATGGGATCTTTTGAGGGGCTTACAGGGAAGAGCACAGTCTAGAAACTCCAGCTGGTCTATGGCCACATCTCCTCTTTGTCCCACTGACCGCAGCGAGTGAAGACGGATTTGAAAAGTTGAGGGAATCCGGCCCAGAAAGATGAGAGCTTCCCTCCAGGCACGAACACTGGAGGCCTCAGGACGCCAAACAACAGCCTCTTCACCACCTGGGTAGAGGACAGATGCCCACAAGGGCGTAGATCCCAGACCGGTGTTACCTACAGTAAAAAGTAAACATTAAAGTATTCATTAGCACGACAGCTGCAGGGGAAATACATTTTATCTTTAAAGATTGTTAAAGAAACATTGTACATTTTTAAAGGTAGGGCTTGTTATGACCAAAAACAGGACTAACAGAGAGAGACGGAGAGGAAAAAACCTGGTTATCTAAATATATGACATGCAGTTATTTGCCATCATTACCCGAGTCCCACAGGAAGTATCTGAGGCGAAGGCGACACGTTGTTGAAGACTGATTAATCTCTGGAGAGATTAAAACTGCAGTATGCAGCAAGTCTTCATTCACTGCACTGATTCCCATGAACCAACCTTTGTAAAAAGACATATTGATTAGAACATTTTAAGATATTACCATTCCAGTTTAATGCAGGATGACTCTCTAAAATACTTGCAATAATACAGCTTTGACTATAAACATGACAATAAAAAAGACTGTACAATACCTATGGCTGTGCCGGTGGTGTAATCGGTGGACGGTCCACTGTCAGGCACTGTTTCCCCTCTCTGATGTCTCTCCCATTTGTATTGTGCACTGGGCGACGTGTCAGCCCATCCACACATTCCTTCATCCTCAAAGTCACACACAAACCCCTTTCCATTGTAGCCTTTCACAGGGGTGACAGAGCATTCAGTTGTTATAATACTGTGTATTACAGGAGAGGTCTTCCACTAAGAAAACTATTTACCCTACCATAATTTGGAGTAAAAGTTTCCTGCTGTGTAGGTATAAAATCTAGAAATTGTGACCAAACCTTAGAAACCGCTAAGTTTTCCCGTAGCAAGCAGATGCCACAGATGCAAAATCAGGGTCTTTTAATTTTTATCTTAAATATGATGATTGTTTTATTTGAACATAAGTGACCAGCATCTCAAAATTAGTTAAAATTCCCCTTTCAGAATGTCAATAAACCACAGAAGCTTAATGAGACCATAATGATCATGTAACATGATCACATGGTATGTTTACATTCATGTAATTTTTTTTACATTTATGTTCATTAACATGCACTGTCCTAAATACAATAAATACAATATTCAGCATATTCAGCACTGAAGCATTTTCCCGTTTTTGAGACAAATCTGACAAGAAATGGCACCAAAAAAAAAAAAATCCGATTATAGATGGGACTAAATTACATTTTTAAAACTTACCACAGCCTTGCTCATCACTCCAGTCTGGACAGTCTTGCACAAAGTTACATTTCCTCCCAGGAGCTTGACACGACTGAGCTGAAGAGCCAGCAGCTGGATAAGAATATGAAACACAAAATTCATTTTTTTTTCTTTTGTCCTGTGAAATTACACCTGCTGATCAAGGGTGTATGAGATGGTCAAAAATCAGACCAATGATCACTATGGACTGCAAAAAATAACTGTAGCCTTTCCTATTAAAAGACAACAGGTTATTAGTAGAAGCCTTAACCTGTCAGAGCTGATGTAAATATGCAAATATCTTCCAGCCAAAGATTGAAAATACTCAAATATTTTCCATCTTTGCTTCTGGGTGTGTGACTCAGGCCCAAACTCTCTCGTGACTCATGACTCAAAGGTTTACAACCCATCTAATGCCAACAGGCTCAAAGACCGCAGAGAGGTAATCAGGGTGACACCATCCACTGAAGGCATCTGTCCAACCAAACGTCTCTGACTAAGACTCAAGACTTTATGATTCAGTAACCTAATAGCTAGAAAATAGACAGGACACCAGACATTTGATTTTTGAGTCTGAATATCCCAGAAGACATCACATCATCATTTTGTTAGAAAATAAATCACACATGAAAGCTCACATTTTTAGTAAGGAGTTATTACCTGACATCAAAAATTACCTGAAATATTGAAGTCCTCTCTGGACTCTTAGAGTTGTGAAATACTCAAAACCCCATTGAGCATTTCTTTATCCTTTATATTTGTGATATTAAATATTAAGGTTAATTATATGTTCAGGTCTGTTCTGTCTGTGGATCTTTAATTATCAGATGGAAAACAAATGCCAGGTTGCCTAAATTCCCAAAGATAGCAAAAACCTCCATAGCAACAAGAGTTGTGCATCTGAGACTGAGATGAAGGAGAAAATCTTTCAACTGCTTGTGGCTTCTTTATCAAATACTAATTTTTTAGTTTTTTACTGACTGTGGCTTGATTAAAAAATCCAAAATCAACTGACTTGTCAAGACATTATTTCAATCTATGTGTAGCAGGGCTGCACAAGTTCAGTTTGGAATAGTTAGCACCATTATTGCTGCACATAATTAAAATCTAATTGAAGGTTTTCTTACCCCACTGCAGAGCCCACAGCAGAATGAGCGCTAAGCTCCTCACATGAAACATCTTCTTTTTCTCCCTTCTTGCACCACATCAATCTGAAGGTTTGCCGACAACCTGCAGAGACTTTATTGTTGACTCTGACCTCTTCTCTGTGCATGAGAGATAACAGTTGGACTTTAAAATCACCCATCATGCAACAGCAGCCAACAATTATAAAATAATCTCCTACAAACGATGGCGGATGTCCGGACATTGCTCATTTACTTGGCGGATACAGAAATGCAGACCAAAGCAGATGCAAAGTGCAGTTTACGGAAGCGATTTTAGCTTACCTCAGTCATGCTGCATAGGTATTTAAGACAGAAACATGGGCAGCATCCTGCTTTAAGTCACGCATGCATTACTCCAACATCATTACCTCAGTAGATTCATTTATCTTTGTCTTTATTAATAGGTGCAGTTTATAACACTGCATTCTAGAATCCATTGGTATTCAAAGGCGCTCACGGTTGACTCAGTGACAGGAGAGGTGCCCGGATCCTGTGGCTCTGAAACAAGCCCAAATCATCACCCCTCCACCACCATGCGTGGCAGTTGGTATAAGGCATTTGCCATTAGCCATGTTTGGTTTTCTTCAAATGTGGCACCGCACATTATGACCAAACATCTCTACTTTGGTTGAGTAAGGTCCTGAAGACTTGTGGTGTGTTTACGTGCAATTTTGCAAATATAAGATGTGCTGCCATGTTCTTTTAAGAGACCATGGCACGCCGGGCAATCCTTCCAAAGAAACCATACATGTTCTTTTTACAGTTGTTACATTTAACATGTTAACTGAGGTCTGTAGAGTCTAAGTTGTAGCTGTTGGGTTTGTTTTATATTTCTCTGAGCGTTGCACGGTCTGACCTTGGGTCGAATTTACTGAGGTGCCCACTCTTGGGAAGAACGTGGCGCTGTGTTAACACTTGAAAGCTCCGACCGGGAAAATGCTAAATCTTCTTGGAAGAGATGCTCACACTTAGTGATGATCAATTAATCAATTGCATCAGATTAGGAGCACCTAGCTGCTACTTACCATGGAAGCCGTAAGGATACTTAGTCCTTCACAGAACTGCATTAGAGACCTGTGAAAAATGTCTTTTTCTTTTTTTTTTTACATGACTGTCTCTATTTTAAATTAAACATTTGAATGCATTTTTATCCACAGTTATCTTTACTGATTATTAATATGTATTTTCTAACACATGTTATACATTGTGAAGTGTGTTTCAGGTACTGTTTGAACATATGTAGAATAAAAAATGTGTTGTCAGGTTTCTGTCCTGGCATAAATATGCTGTGGATCATATGCTGTATAGAAAAGTTATACATAGTTTCCAAATCTGAAAATGGAAGCCAGTGTGGAACAGCATTAAACCAGTATTGTTTGTTATGGCAGCAAGGGGCCACCTTGCTTTAGTTCACCTGCTTTATGAACGCAGTAAACCTATTCCTGATAAGTTTATGGCCTCAGTCACTAGTTTAAGTCTTATTCAGTGTTCATTTTGTAAACAGTTTTTCCCCATAAAGCCATAAAGTATGACATGCTTAATTTACAAAACAAACAAACAAACAAACAAACCCTCAATTCTGTTAGGTGATGGATTTAGAGAAATTTGCAGGTGATTGAGAACTGCCAACTGCCTGACCTCCCTACTGAGTCACTGAGCTCATCTCCACTGTGTTTGTGGTGTTGGCCCATTTTGAAGCATTTTAATGGAATAATCTGACTAATAATGTGTCTTTATGTGTGATACAACTTATCCAAGACGTTTGTTCTTCAGTTTTGTTGAGTGAAATTCTAGTATTTTATTAGTCTCTACAAGCACTAATTAGCATATATCTGATAATTAAAAAGCCAACAGATGGCAATAGCCTTGGTTGCAAACACTTCCAGGCTTATGGAAGTCTATGGGAAAATTGGCTTGTTAAATCTGACCTGACCTCAGTGAATATGTTCCTGATGAACTTATGATCTCAGTCACTTATTTTCAGTTATATTGCTTAAAAAAATGCAAGTCATTTTGTAAACCTGTCAGAAATCAAGAGAAATACCTGTGCTACGCACACTGGGTAAATATCAGATGATATATCAGAATATTGGATTTTTGGGTATATATTATAAATATTGGATCCTATATGTCAGAATCATTTCAGAATACTTCAGCACAATGGTAGTAATCAGGAGCATCAAGTTCATTTACTTTTATCTAGCAACTGTGCCCATTTTAATCAACAGTTTACAGCACGCTGGAATCTGGACCATAGCTGCTGTAAAAAGTAAGATAAGCAAAGAGATGGGGTGTTGTCATTTTTCTGCTCTGCAGGAAAGAGGCACATAATATAAGCACACATTTCACAATAAAACCCCACATCAAAACTTGTAAGATTTGCTTTGTAACTTAAATTTCCAAAGAAATTTATGAGGGATCATGACTCTAAAACAAGTCAGTGAAGGAGAGGCGGTAATCTGCAAAGCCAGCGCAGGCAATCATTTATTTAAAATGTTTCCACATGACAAATTCATTAAATTATTAGCTACACTATGAAAAGCTGTTATGTTTTACACAAGGAAGGAAGGTGAAAACTTAAAGCTGTTGTATTAATAAAAAGAAAAATCCTAAATGTGTTTAGCCTGATAACGAAGGGTTACAAAAAAAATACATCAGTCCAGGGTTACAGGGAATTAAGTAGAAGCTGTTTAAAGTTTATTTCAGTAGCCTTCATTATCCCAGGTCACCTCATAGTCTGGATACCGAACCTTGAGTTTCTCAGTGGTCACTGCATGGTTTGCTCTTCCGAATCCCTGTGATCAAAAAAGACACATCAGTGTTTCATCAGAAAGATGAAATAACATTTGATTTAAACCACTAAAAAAACCAAAAACCATCATTGTATTCATACTTTCTCAGTATTTACAGATCAGAATCACCCACCATGGAGTATCCGTAGACATGGATCTTCTTGGCCTGGGGGTCATGTTTGATTCTCCCTCCTCCTATACACTCACAGTCCAAGTGCCCGTCCCTTTCCAGCTCCTCTGCTACCTTCTCATAGATGTCAGCTGGGAAAAGGATGGATACAACTCAGAAACAAAGTTTTTGGAATATTTTCTACATCAAAGTATGAATTATTGCCTTAGAAAATATAGCTTGGTGACTTAGAGTTTGTAACTGGAGTTTTATTTATAATTTCAAATGCCTGCTTGGTATGTGGATGTGTCCATACAGTGTTCATTGAGTTTCATGAGGTTGGTCAGCTGTTAAATAAAATTGCATGTACTGTGCTTTCAGTGTTGTCCAGCAGAGAGCAGCACAGACCTGTCATTACTAAATGCAAAGCCATCAGTATTGCATTCATAAAGTCTGCGGTTATCCTGAAGGCTGCCTGTTATTATACAGTGTTTATAATATTTTGTGCCGCTCCATATTGTGTACTAATACTACATAATAAGCACCAACGGATTACATAAACATCCCTTCATTACAAAATTCCAAAACCAAAATGAGGCAGTCGGTCAATGAGTGCACAGACATGTAAAATATACATTAGATGTAAAACAGTGTCTTTGCTTCCCCTATAGAACCAAGGAGCACAACAAGCTCGTCATGCAGCTCATAGGGAGGAGAAAAGGTCAAAACTGTGAAAAAGTGAAAAGCTGAGCCTGAGGAGAAAGCGCAGGCATGGTGAGGCCTTAATGTATGGTCTGCACGGAGCTATCAACGACAGGCTGGAGGTGGTGATAATTCCTCCTCCACAATATAAAAGAGACAAAGCGGAGGAAAGGTGGAGGTTGGGTAGGGGATAGGGGCAGAGCCATACATAAAGTCTACAGATCTTTTGACTGGTTGGGGAAATGTGGATTCTCTAGGCCGCACTTTATCTGTGGCATGAGGGATATTTGAGCATATTGTGGCCGTGTGCTTGAGCCACACAGAAATTCTTTGTTCATTTCTTAGTAATGTTTGCTTAATGTACTTACTAATAACTGGGTAATAGGAACAAAGTCTATACATTTTACTTTGTCCATTTAATATTTATATTATGAATTGTATTGAATAGAAAGAAATCCATATAAATTATACATATTTATATTAGAATAGCAATTTAGAGTAGTAGTACATAAGATATTACCCTGACAAAAAAAAGAAGTAAAAATGATGCTGCTGGCCAACAGGCTGACCTTAGAAACTGTGCTGAAACTTTGTCTTGTGTTGGCCAAAGACAAAGGAAAAGGAAAGGGAGAAGGCATGTTAGGAGGCAGCGAGACTGAAGGAAAATTAGGAGTGTGAAGGAGAGAGCAGGGACTTTAAGAGTAGAAACTGTCTGGTAAACAGAGAGCATTTATGAATGGGGGAAGATTAGTAGATATATTGTGTGTGCAGAAAAACAGCTGGAACGGAAGCGAAGCCAGAAGCATTGGAGGTGGATCGAAATAGTTCTACTACGGTTCAGATATGAAGTAAAATAGAGTAGAGGTAATCTTGACAAGAGTATGTGAAGAATGTTGTGGAGGTGAAGACTGTCAGATAGGATTATGAGTTTGAAGCTGGAAATTGAAGGAGTGATTCTGAAGGAGGGGGTGAGTGGATATTAAAGTAGACTTCAGTGGACATGCAGGAACAGAGGCGATAAGGTGTTAAGGAGAGAAATGTTGAACGATAGATGGCGGTGGATATGCAAAAAGGACTGGGATGGCTGTGGTAGACATTAAGAAGAGGGTGGAACACAGAGTGATGCTTTTTACTTTTTTTACTACGTACAGCACTTTGGTCAACCTGTGTTGTTTTTAAATGTGCTTATAAATAAATTGATTGATTGATAGGATTGAGTGAAGTAGCAAAAAAAGAAAAAAGAAAAAACAAAACTTAAAAAAAAAAAAAAATAGGGGAGGCCTAGCTGGAAGTAGCTAAATTGAACATGTTAAGATTATTTTTGGCGTGATCAGGATGGGACAGGGACATAGGGGGTGTCCAAATTCATGGGCTGCATCCTCCTGAGGCCGCATGTGTAGACGGATTACGTCACAGCGATGCACCAAAGGCTGTCCAAATTCGTAGACTCTGAATGCAGCCGACAAATGCGTCCTCCTTTTAGTTTTAATATTACTCTTATTACTTCTACTTACTCGCTTTGGGGTCCTTAGGGACTAGGAAAGCGCTATACAAATACAGGCCATTTACTCTTTCTGGGTCACAAAATAAACTTTTAAGATATTTTCGGGTCCAGTTTGTCTGTTTTTTCCCTTTTAAAATATCTCACCTGTCTCTCTTGCATTTACTATACCCTGTTTTGCACTGACAAAAACTTATCTTTCCTTATGATGGGATCAGAGTCATTGCCTCTTCTCTCTCTCTCTCTCTCTCTCTCTCTAACCTACTACACACACACACACACACACACACACAACACACCCACACTACACGTTTCAAAGTGAACATAAGTTCAGGGAAGAAATCATGTGCGCACACCTGTGGACACCTAGACACATCCTAATGTTGGTTATATGCGGAGGTAGAACAGGAAACTATGGGGAGGCAGATTCAAATTATTATGAAACTCAAAATAATAAATTTTTTAATGCACCACTTGAGAAATGACATGAAAATCTTTTACTTTAGACCAATCTCTGACCTCATCATCAATGGGCACAATTGTTAGAGTGTGTCTTGTGACAACAGTATAACTGTGTTTATATGAACTTATTTGGGTTCTCTCTTTTGCCAGTCCCATCTAGATGGTGTAATTAAGCTGAAGGTTAAGCTTTAATATTATACATTGTATTCTAATCAAATCAAATCAAATCACTTTTATTGTCACATCACATGTGCAGGTACATTGGTACAGCACATGTGAGTGAAATTCTTGTGTGCGAGCTTCACAAGCAACAGAGTTGTGCAAAATACAATAATGTAAACAAGCAAAATACAAGAATGGCTACATCTGAAACTAATAAATATATGTACAATATATAATAGTATATGCATTTCTGGATGTGTATACTAAATATTTTTCTACGTGTGTGTGTGTGTGTGTGTGTGTGTACACATATTTTACAAATTAAATAGAGTAAACAATAAATAAAATATATAAAAATATACAGAATATATACATGGTCCCTCCCTTTATCATCTCATTTAGCAGGAGATACACTGGTCACTGTCCTTCATGAAAGGACAGGGAATAATGCTGTCCTACAATTCAGAGCAATGCACTGTCCAATCATCATTAAAAACAAACAAAATATCTCACAAGTGATGCTGATCAAGCGTATGTTAATTAACAGCATGCTATCCATGTTGTGCAATGACCTGCGGCCATGTTTTTAATGACAGGTTGTTAAAGCCTTGGATGAATTCTGACTATGGCCACAACAAAACAGCCACTGGGAGGGCAACTGTTTATGTCCATCGTTTATATACAGTCTGTAGGTATGGCGAGGGTAGGACGACAATCAAGAACAACACGGAGGTGGGAGACAGGTCCTCGAGATGAGTCAGTATTAGGACAGAAGCAAAGCTGGGTCATCTGTTTGTTTGTTTGACCTCGGGGGTACATCTCTGGTGCGTCCAGGTGCAGATGGAGGTGTATTTTACGCTTAAAACAGAGCGTTGTCCTTACTCACCGTGGTACTCAGCCCAGCCGTATCCTCGGACTATATCCACCTCCGAGTCGTCCCCCTCCTCTCGGCTATGAACACGGATCAAGACGTACTTAAATACTCCGGAAGGGTCGATGTCTGCCTGCGGTATGTTGGCCATGAGAGCAGCCGCCTTCGTCTGTGTGCACATGTCTAAACTTCTCAAGGAGCACACTAGCAATGCAAGCAGCAAGCGAAACGCTCGGATTTTCCAAACAAGCTTCGTGTCTATGCGTAGAAACTAATACGGAAGTAACACATTTATATCTCTATATTGTAATCTGGACGGGAATGCAAAAGCTATAAATCATTGCAAAATAAAAGACATCATCTAGTTTCCTCCTAGGACCGCCATAATACAGCTAGCCGGCAAAATCAAGTTAACTTCCGGTATGACCCTTCGAAATAAATAATACTACGACTTACTATCGCCACCATTAATAATAATAATAAACATACAGATATTCCATACGTCTTATGATGTGTAATCTTTTCATTGTTTTATTTCTTGCTGTTCATGGAAAAGCTATGGAAGAAACAGTGAAAATTCCTTATTAGAAATGTTGTAAAACTTAATTTTATTCTGAAGGCAGTTCAAACATACCGGAAAAAAGAAATGCATTTTGGTATCTGCAGTCCAAATGAATATTTTAAAGGGCAATGACTTTTTTCTACAGTCATTGATCAGAATAAAAAACATACAA